AATTTTTCTTTCTTCAAGGATGTATATAAGGTTTTTCTTCAGAGATAATACGATCAGTAAAATCGAAGCCTTCAACGTGAAGAGGATAATTAGATGACAGGAAAGCTTAAAAATACACTGTGGAAAAGAAAGTGACACTTGTTTCATCCCCAATACAAGGCAATTAATGAACCATTATGCAGAAAATAACACAATGTGCCCCCCACCCCCAAATGTGTGCTTTTCTTCTCTACTGTATTCAGTATAAAAGGAAATAACTAGGCATACGTTGCCCCAGGGTGACCTAACTTTGTAATCAGTTAATGAATCAATCTAAGGAAACTTACAATCCTTTTGTTCCTTTTACAAGTCATATACCCTCCTCCAACAGAAATGAAAATTCATGGATTTCGAAGTCACAGGACAAACCTTCCCAGGTAAACTGCAGATGAACTTTAGAAAAAGAATAAAATAAATATATATAATTGATTTCTGAGAGGAAGGGAGAGGGAGAGAGATAGAAACATCAATGATGAGGGAATCATTGATCGGCTGCCTCCTGCACGCCCCACACGGGACTGAGCGCCCAACCCGGGCGTGTGCCCTGACCGGGAATCGAACCGTGACCTCCTGGTCCATTGGTTGCCGCTCAACCACTGAGCTATGCTGACTGGGCTGCAGGTGAACTTTTTAAAATGACCTGCGGGAGCCCTAACCGGTTTGGCTCAGTGGATAGAGCGTTGGCCTGCAGACTCAAGGGTTCCAGGTTCCAAGGGCATGTACCTTGGTTGCGGGCACATCCCCAGTAGGGAGAGTGCAGGAGGCGGCTGATCGATGTTTCTCTCTCATAGATGTTTCTAACTCTCTATTCCTCTCTCTTCCTCTCTGTAAAAAAAAAAAAAATCAATAAAATATATTTTTAAAAAAATAAAAAATAAAATAAAACGACCTGCGGGAGGACTAGTATTGGTCCTGATCTTTCATCCCCAACAAGCCCGTTCCGTTAACCCAGAAGACTTACAAGGAAACAAAACCACTGCAGCAAGTACAAAGGTAATATTCTGAAGCCTTACCTACTGTTAAGGTTCCTGACTATTAAGTTTTACTTGGAACCAAATATACCAGCTGGTCCCTTTTAGTAACAGTGACAGTAAGAGCTATTTTTTAATAACAGTGACAGGAAAGAGCTATCCAGCACTTACTGGCACTGTGGTAAGCACTTGGCACACATGATCTTATTTACTCTTCACCATAAACTTAGGATCTATTCTAGACTATCCTCACCCCAATTTACCGATAGAAGAGGACTGGACGGCGGCAGCACCGTCCGCAGCAGTCACACCGACCCGGGCACCAGGCCGTCGGTCGGTCCTCGCCACCGGCCGCTCTGCAGCCCCCGGGCTGGGAGGAGGGCTCCCCGCCGGGAAGCAGCACCTTCCCTTTCCAGCTTCCTCTCCCCCTCCGCTCCCCACACACCCTCCTCACAGAACTCGGCGGCTGCAAGGTAACCGAGTCTTCTCCCATGAGCCCGCCACCTCCTGTCCAGAACGCTTTCCTTCCCGCAACAGCAACGGCCAAGAAGCACCTTCTGACCCTGACTTTGCTTCCCAAAAACAAAACTACGAAGCTCCACCCATCACCTGCCTCGGCTAAAAAATGTTCCGACGCCGGGGGAGGGGGAAGGAGAGACGGGGACGGAGGAAAAGTCCTGTTCTTTCAAAAGGTCACGCACGGACAGGTATCCTCGCGGCCAGCCTTTCTACTCCGCTTCTCCCTCCTCTGCCACCAGGCTCCCAACTACCCTCAACTCCAGCTCCAACTCGGTCCGCCCCGCTCCGCGGTCCTCGCCTCCGCCTTTCTCCTCGGCGGCCGCGGCCCGGGTCCCCCCGCCTTGCAGCCCAGCCTGCAAGGTGCGAAGCCCGCCTCGCCAACAGGGACCCCGCGAAGGCCCCCCCCCCCCCCCCGTCCCCAGCTGCTCCGCTCCGCCCTTCCCAGGAGGCACCACTCCCCTAGGCACCGGCCCCAGCATCCCCCGGCGGCCCCACCCGCCAGCTCCCGTCCCCTGGGGGACCCCCTCCTCCCAAGTTACCCCTAGTCCCCGCCTCAGTGAAGTCCTCTTTCCCCGAATAAGCTGGGCTCCCGAAGGCTAGTTCCCACCTTCACATCAGCCTCTGCCCCCACGTCTCGGCCCCCCCCCCGCTACCCGCCCCGGGTTGTGGGGTGGCCCCGGGCCTCCCCGGTGGGTTGCAGGCGCCTCGGCTGGTGTGTGTGTAGAGGGGGGGCAGGGGAAGGCGAAGGGCACTCCGGAGCCCGCTGGAGGCCCCAGGGGCAGCCGCGCCCGGCTGCCCTCTTCTGGGCCAACCGCCACCCCCCGGCAGCCTCGCCCGGCGGCTCCCACTGTACCTGTGGTGGAAGCGGCAGCGCCGGCGGCCGCGCTCCCCTCTCCTCACACAGACAATATGGCGGCGGCGGAGGAGGAGACACACGGCTCGGCCGCCAGCCGCAGGGACCAGAGCGAGGCTGCTCCCGCCACCGCCGGAAGCGGAAACCCGCTCTGCCAGGAGGCGGGCCGGGACGGCTTCAGCCCCCGCCCCCAGCGGAACCGCGGCGAGTGCGGCCGTGCTGGGATGTCCTATTGTACCCTGGGGTTCCTTTCCGGATGGGGGTGCAAAATGGAAGGAGTTCTCAAGGTAAAGCATGATAAAGGGACTTGCAATAATTAGCGCGTTTGATTCCAGTACCTCTAAGAACTGGCGAGAGCGACAACGCGAGCCTCCCCCTGAGTTCCCAATTGGTTTGACCCAGCAAAGATGGCGGCCGCCGGGTTTCCCGCACTCCGCCCGCTGACGCGGCCCGTCCGTCTGCCAGCCGGCCCGCCTTGCTTGGAAAGAAGCATGCGCGACCTGCGGAGCTGAGGAGCGGGGCATTTTGGAAGTTGAAGTCTCCTGCTCGGGCCCCTCGTCTGGGAGGAAGGTTCCGGCGGTACATTTTTGTCTGCTCCAACTTCGAGTCCGGAACTAGCGAGCAGAGGTTGGACCCGGGATGGTGTGGCACCGGAGCCGAGGAGGGGGCGATGCCGGCTTTCTGGACACTGAGACCTCATCCCGCTTCCCATAGGAGCCCTGGCTGAGCTGTCCATCCGGAATAGTGCGTTCTCGGGTCGGTCTGCACCCCACCCCACCCCACCCCTGTTCTTGTCCGGGCCACCTCCCCAAAGCAGCCACAGGGCACTTTGTGCAGTGCCAACCTGGGTTAAAAATCCCCGAGGCTCTCCTCTGTACACCAAAAACAGCAAATCTCTCCTCTTGACGTCCATGTTCCAACATCATTTGGACAACCCATCCAGCCCCCTTTTTACCTCCATTTCTGCCTCCCCCCCCCCCCCCCCCATTCCTGAAATGTATCTGTTTTGCCTCCTTTCGCACTGGCAGTTCCATTCGGTTACTGTTACCTCCTGGACTGGCTAACATTCATTAAAGTAATTCAGGGGTCCTTTTCTCCGAGGATCTTCTCTCTCTTGAGCTCCCCAAGACCTAGGCAACATCATTTAGCAACCGACGGGTGCCCAGCCTGCCTGCTCCATCATAGACTGTGAGCCCTCAGTGGACAGGGCTGGGTCTCATGACCACCCCCTGCGCCTTCTGCAGGCCCTGCTGAAAGCTGGTGTGTGGAAGTGTTACTGAGGAGTCGTGTTCCCCTCGCCTCTGAGGGGGCAGAGGTGTGATGGCTGGAACAAGGCGAGGAGGCCGGGTTATTTTGGTGTTACCAGCTGTTACCCCGGGGCAGGGAGCTGTCTGCCGGCTCCAGCCCTCCATTGGCAGTTTAGCTTACTGGCACCTCTGCTCCCAGAGAGACAATTTTCGCCCCCCGTGGGATGGGATGGGATGGGATGGGATGGGATGGGATGGGATGGGGGTGGCGGCAGCTGCTGACCTACAGTGATGGCCTCAGGGAGGTGGCCGTGACTTTTCTGTGCCTCATTGTCAGGCAGGTCTGTGGCATTTGATCTCATCGGCGGGGAATCTGCAGTCATGGGTGTCCTCAGGCTGGTCATTCGTCCTCTCTGGGCCTCTGCTTCCCCAACTATGGACTGAGGAGGTGAGAGAAGATGATCCCAATGTTCCTGTGAAGCCCTCTTTCAGGAAATGACTAGCCTTCCACTTAGCTCTCGGACCATGTCTTTTTGGCTCTCGTGGCTCCCTTTTTCCCACCTTCGTTCACATTTATTCAGCTCTTACAAACTTGCTATGAACCAGACATTGTGTGAGGTGCATGAGCAAGACCGATACCAGTTCCTTATGGAGCGCACCTTCTAAAGTGAGAAACAGATTATGCACAGGTAAACAGAAGAATAAAAAAAGTAATTTCAGCCTGGCCAATGTGGTTCAGTGGTTGAGTTGTCACCGTTCAATTGCAGGTCAGGGCACATGCCGGGGTTGTAGGCTCGATCTGGGAGGCAGCTGATCAATGATTCTCTCTCATCATTGATATTTCTATCTCTCGCTCTCCCTCTCTAAAATCAATAAAAATATTTTTTTTAAAAAGGTAATTTCACAGAGTGCGGGTATTCCCAAGATTTAGCCCTCACACCTTTCCTATGATCTCAGCCCCTCCTACAGCATTATTGTTCATTCTTCCACCCAATTCCAGCCTCCATCTGTGACCTCATTCATAGGGCTCACCAGGCACACACAGCCACTTTGTACCAAGTAGGACACAGTTGAGACCCAACCCCTGCCATCTCCCAGGCTAGCCTGATATAGGTCTCTGGTCCCAAGAAGCCCGCAGTCTCCAACATCCACTAGTTATGGAGCCTCCAAAGACAAGCTCAATTATCTTTCACATTTACTCTTTCTGATGGCCTACATAGCAAGTATCAAGCTAGACTTCCTTCAAACAACAGCAGCAACAACCACGGTTAAAATGTTGACAGTGCTTGCCCTATGCCAGCCGTGGGCAAACTACGGCCCGCGGGCCGGATCCGGCCCGTTTGAAATGAATAAAACTAAAAAAAAAAAAAAAAGACCGTACCCTTTTATGTAATGATGTTTACTTTGAATTTATATTAGTTCACACAAACACTCCATCCATGCTTTTGTTCTGGCCCTCCGGTCCAGTTTAAGAACCCATTGTGGCCCTCGAGTCAAAAAGTTTGCCCACCCCTGCCCTATGCCATACACTGAATGTTCAGCATCTAATTTAATCCTCACATCAGCCTGAGGAGGTAGAAACTAAAAGTATCCCATTGTACAGATGAGGAAACTGAGGTTCAGTGAGATTACAGGACGTGCCCAAGATCATATGCCAGAGATGGAACTTGCATTTCAACCTGGGTCACTGCACTGAGAACCTAAATGTATCAGCTTCGTATTGCTGCTTAACAAATCATCCCAAAACAGTGGCTTAAGCCAACAATCATTATTTGCTTATTTGTATGGTTTGGCAGTTTGGACATATCTCAACTAGGATAGCTCTTTTCTGTTGCACATGGTCTTGTCTGGGCTTACTCCTGCCCTTGTGGTCAGCGAGGTGACCGGCTGGCTGGTCCTATATGGCCTCATTCAGAGATCTGGCCACTGACTGGGTTTGTGGCTGGAGTGCCTTGGTTCTTCGTGTGGCTTCTTCAGCAAGCTAGCTCAGGCTTCCTTACAGGATGACCTCCACAAGGAAGAGAACAAAAGCAGCAAGGCCTCTCTTGAGGCCTAGGCTCAGAAGTGCCATAGGATCAATTTAAAAAATAGATTTATTATTTTTTGTTTTGTTTTATTATTATTACTATTTTTAGTCTTCACTCAAGGAGTGAGGATATTTTTTCCATTGATTTTTTTTTTTTCAGAGAGAGTGGAGGGAGGGGGGAGAGGAGAGAGAAACATCAATGTGAGAGAGACACATCAATTGGTTGCCTTCCTACCCCCCCGTCCCCCCCCCAACTGGGGATGGGGATCAAACCTGTGACCCTTTGGTCCTTGGGCCAACGTTCTAACCACTGAGCAACCGGCTAGGGCTAAATTTCTGTTTTTAAGCTACCCAGTCTGTGATATCTTGCTCTGGCAGCCCAAGTAGATTAACACAGGAGTCCTCGTTGTAGAAATGGTTTTTAAAGGCATGCAACTGGGTAAGATCTCCAAGGGAGTGAGCATAGACAGAGAAGAGAAGAGGACCAAGGACTGAGACGCCATCATTAAGAGATAAGAAACAAACAAAGGAGTCCGAGGCAGAGCGGCTAGGGGTGTGTCCTGGGGACCAGTAAAGAAAACAGTTCAAAGGGGGAGAGCTGGTGATCTGTGTCAAATGCTGCTGAGAGGTCAAGAAGATGCGAATCTTGCCCTAGCTAGTTTGGCTCAGTGGATAGAGCGTTGGCCTGCGGGTGGAAAGATCCCAGGTTCGATTCTGGTCAAGGGCACATACCTCGGTTGCAGGCTTCTCCCCGGCCTGGGCCATGGTCGGGGCGCATGCAGGAGGCAATCTGTGTTTCTGTCTTTCCCTCTTCTACTTTCTCTAAAAGTCAATGGAAAATTATCCTTGGGTGAGGATTAAAAATAAAAAAGAAGAAGATGAGAGTCAAAAACTGAATTAGCAAAGTGGAGGGCATTATTGGATAGGAAAGAGTTTAAGGAGAATGGTGGGAGCAAAAGCCTGATTGGAGTGGGGTTAAGAGAGAGTAGAGGATTTAAATACAGAAAGACAGAAAGGAAAAGGAAATCTCTTTTTAAGAGCAGAAAGTCACCTAAAATCTAGAAGAGTAAGAATTAGAAAATCACTATTTGGCAGCCACCATAGTAATAATTGTTTCAGGAGAGATTCATTCATAGATGCTTCAATCAATAGTAGATTAAACTTTGAGGAGAAACAGGATATTTGCATAGTCTTAGAGTTCTCACAAGATAGTTATTTTTTTTAATTTTTTATTTTTTAACTTAAATTCTTTATTGTTTAAAGTATTACATAAGTCTCCCTTTCCCCCCATTGTCCTCTCCCCAGCCACTCCCATGCCCCAGCACATGCTTTCACCCCCATACTATCTGTGTCCATTGGTTATGCTCATATGCATGCATACAAGTCCTTTGGTTGATCTCTTACCCCCCTCTCCCCGGTCTTCCCTCTTACGTTGGATGGTCTGTTCAATGCTTCTATGACTCTGACTCTATTTTTGTTCATCACTTTATGTTGTTCATTATAGTCCACAAATGAGTGAGATCATGTGATATTTATCTTTCTCCAACTGGCCTATTTCACTTAGCATAATGCTCTCCAGGTCCATCCATGCTGTTGCAAATGGTAAGAGTTCCTTCTTTTATACAGTTGCATAGTATTCCACTGTGTAAATGTATCACTGATTTAAATCACTCATCTGCTGATAGGCAATTAGGCTGTTTCCAAATCTTAACTATTGTAAATTGTGCTGCTATGAAAGTTGGGGTGCATGTAGCCTTCCTGATTGGTGTTTCAGATTTCTTGGGATATTTTCGTAGAAGTGGGATTGCTGGGTCAAATGGGAATTACATTTTTGAGGAAACTCCATACTGTTTTTCACAGTGGCTGCACCAGTCTGCATTTCCACCAGCACTTGTCATTCTCGCCAGAACTTGTCATTTGTTGATTTGTTGATGATAGACATTCAGACAGGTGTGCGATGTACCTCATTGTCTTTTTGATCTGCATCTCTCAGATGATTAGTGACTTTGAGCATGTTTTCATACGTCTCTCTGCCTTCTGTATGTCCTCTTTTGTAAAGTGTCTATTTAGGTCCTTTGCCCATTTTTTGATTGGATTGTTTATCTTCCTTTTGTTAAGTTGCATGAGTTCCCTATAAATTTTGGAGATTAAACCCTTATCAGAGATATAATTGGCAAATATGTTCTCCCATGCAGTGGGCTTTCTTGTTGTTTGGTTGAAGGTTTCTTTTGCTGTGCAGAAGCTTTTTATTTTGAAGTAGTGCCATTTGTTTATTTTATCCTTAGTTTCCAGGAAATGTATCAGTAAAGATATTGCTATGGCATATGTCTGATATTTTTTGCTGTCTATGGATTCTTCTAAGATTTTTATGGTTTTCTGTCTTAGGGTTAAGTCCTTTATCCATTTTGAGTTTATTTTGTTTATGGTGTCAGTTGGTGGTCTAGTTTCATTTCTTTTGCACGTATCTGTCCAATTTTCCCAGC